TGTTGGGGGCGATATGCTGACTCTGTAAACCGCTTAGAGAGGGCTGAAAGCCCTATGAAGCGGTATATAAGTCTAACTGCTATTGCTATGTGATCACGGGCATGCTACGTTAGGCGTAAGTGTGAAAAACGGCCATAGGTCCCTTTTTTTCCACTGATGCTGTAACTTCAAACGGTCACTAAATGAACTGTTGTAAGTCGAGGACTACCTGTACAAGGTTGTTAAAAGAAAAAAAAATCAGTGAAGTCAAGTTGGATCTGCTGATTCCAAACAGCTGGGGAGGGTTTCTAAATAGGATAACCGAAGATGAGCTTCTTTAAAGGAGGGCATGGGAGGGGGGGGGGAATCCGGAGAGCATCCCCCTTCCCAGAGAAGCGCTGCCTGGACAGCCCGGCAGAGCCCAGCTTAGGGGTTCAGCTGCCCCACCAAGGATCCCACCAGGCAAAAATGCTATTGAAAGAATCCCACGGGGTTCTTCTCAGCCTCCCCAGGAGAAGCGAGCCCCTCTGCCGCTCTTGTCCTCACAACACCCTGGACAGGTAGGACAGGCTGCAGGGCGGCCCCAGGCGGAGGAGAGAAGGGTCGCCTTTGCCTCTGCCCGCCGCCTCACCTCGGAAGAAATCCCCGCCGCGGACGCTGCTGAGACCAAGCGGCCGCCGGGGCTCCTCCGGGTTGGCCAAAAGCCGCCGCCGCCGCCGCGCCGCCAGCAAGGGCCGCAGACCGGCCAGCGGGCTCCCTCGGCTGAGCATGGCGTCCCGCTCGGCTTGACAGGCGCCTCTCTGACGTCAGAGGAAAACACACGTTTAAAACCACCGCCCCCCTTCATCCTCCCCGCTCACGGAACCAATCGGCGGCCACCCCGCCCCCGCGAGACCCATTCCACGTCGGCACCTCGCTCTGACGTATCCAGGGAAGCCTCCAAGCCCCGCCCCACTCTCTACGTCTTGCGCGGCCTTCGGGAGAATAGACCAATCCGATCTTCTTTCCCCCTCCATCTCAATATTAGCCCCGCCTCTTCCTCTACTGTGGAGTTTCTATCTCTATAATTCAAGAGGGAAGCCCGGTATATTTTGAGCATGTTTCCTTCCTGGAATAAGCATCCTGTGTCTCGAATTACAAAACCCAAGATTTTCACTCATGAAATCTAGACCGTTCCAAAAGAAAAAAGGAATAAGTGATAAAGGCGACGACGTGTCTGACGTCCGAAACAACTCTTTACTTTCTATCTCTATCAGCCACGTAAATACCGCCTCTCCCGGGGACGGGATCCAATCAGACCTCTGGTGCCCGAGTTGCTTCCGGCGGATGTGAGTAGTACTTAAGAGAATAATCTGACGTGGGTAAGGAAGTCGGGCTGGTTTCCCGGCGTCTTCGGTCCCGTCTTCCCCCGGTTTCCCCCCTTCCCCCCCGGCCATGCTCGACTTTTTCACCATCTTCAGCAAGGGGGGGCTCGTCCTCTGGTGCTTCCAAGGCGTGCGCGGCCCCGCGGCGGCCTGCACTGCGCCCGTGAACGCGCTCATCCGCTCTGTCCTCCTCCAGGTAAGAGCCAATACCCCCTCCCCGGGCCACGTATGCACCCGTGGTCTTCGCGGGGTGAGGGGGTTTGCATATATCGTCCACGCGGGGTGACGTCGTGGGGGATGGGATGGGGGAGCCCCAGAGGATCTGGGCGGATTTCACGAAGGTTTGTTAATCCTGTGATGGGAGACCACCAGGAGATCACAGGAAGAATTTAGAAGTGGGCAGCAGCCAAATGCTTTCATGCTGCTGCCCAGAGAGAATGAAATCAAGGAGTCACCCGGGTCTGAGGTAGATTAAAGGCAACGTTTACTTTTTATTTGATTATTAAGCTCCTTTTTTGGGACCTTCTGTCTCCCCCATTGCCTTCAACCCTCCATTTCCCAGAGTTTCCATCTGTTTGACCTTTAGAAGCCTACAGCTGCTTGATGCTAGGATGTAGTTGAAATAACAGGGTTAATTCATGCCTTCTGTATAATGATATAGCTATATAAGCTTATGTTATATAAGCTATACATACTTATACTTAATGTAATTATACGTTTTCCATGCTGCTGTTGTAACATTACACCCTGTATGCCTAATACAATTGTGCCTGAGTAATAGTTAAGAATGAGGCCTGAGTAAACTGGCTCTTCCCATTAATTTGCATGGCTATCAATCAATATTTTGAGCAGGCCAGTTCTTGCAGCCTCTTGTAATTGGGGCATTTTGATGCCAATTAATAGTTTATTTCAGTCAGATTATTTGAGCCAGATTCCTTCTTTTAATATATTCCTGCATACAAAGCCTGTTTTGTGAGTAAGATGCTCAAAAAAAAAATCTCCGCTCCCTTTCACAATCAGTATTTGGAGTACCAGATGGTTCTGAAGTCTTCAGGACTTGTTTGGCATTATTATCCCCTTATATCTGAAAGCTTTCCTTTAACTGATGGTTTCAAAATCTATCTGATGAGTCAGATTGTATCATGTGTTCCATGGGACTGAAGCTATCTGCTTTCCCAGGTCCCTTTTGGTAGCAGGCACTTAGCAATTTCCAGTTGGTCTTTTTCAACTTTGCCTTTGCTTGTTAAGAAGGCATGATATTAATGAATTGGTATATAGTACTCAAGCATCTCATGCTAGTCCAAGATAAGTTATCGTATTTTTCAGAGTATAAGATGCATCAGAGTATAAGACGCACCAAGGTTTTGAAGAGGCATTTTTTTAAAAAAAGAGTAGGTAGGTAGAGAAAGGGGGAGAGAGAAATACGGTAGGTAGGGGGAGAGAGAGAGTAGGTAGGTAGGTAGGTAGATAAAGGGAGAGAGAGAGAGAGAGTGAGTAGGTAGGTAGGTAGAGGGATAAAGAGAGAAATAGAAAGAGAGAAATACAGTATATAGGTAGGGAGAGGGAGAGAGTAGTTAGGTAGATAAAAGGAGAGAGAAAGAGAGAAATACGGTAGGGAGAGAGAGTGTGTAGGTAGGTGGGTAGAGGGATAGAAAGAAATAGAGAGAGAAATACAGTAGATAGGTAGGGAGAGGGAGAGAGTAGGTAGATAAAGGGATAGAGAGAGAGAAATAGAGAGAGAAATACAGTAGGTAGGGAGAGAGAGTGTGTGTCTAGGTAGGTAGGTAGGTAGGTAGGCAGAGGGATAGAAAGAGAGAAATAGAGATAGAGAGAAATACAGTAGATAGGTAGGTGTTTCTGCTGGCATAGCAATTGATCTATGTAATTCTCATCAGTTAGAGCTTCCCAAAATTCTGCAAACTTCCCCAAAACAGCCCATTTTTCACAAAAACGCCCCCCCCCTTTTTTTTTTCAAAAAAGGGCTTGATTGGTTTTGGGGGGGGGGGCTTGCAGAGTGCTCCTGCAAGTGGTACTCAGGTGCCACTTTCTATGCCATGTCTTCTTAAAAAGAGTTGAAAAGAAAAGTAACAATAAAATACATTATAACAATGTAAAATTATATTCACTAAGAGGTAATTTTCCAACATTCATATTCATGAGTTTTTAACAGGACCGCATACATTAAGTGGATCCTAGATCTCAAGGTGGAGAGCCTGGATCAGTGGAGCACAGGCCCCACAGCTGAAAAGGACCGTCTGGAAATGGCTGTGAGATACCTTTCATTGGTTCTCCGCACACAGTGCCACCAGAAGCCATATAGCAAGAAATGCTCAAACGAGAACATTCTGTACTTCACCGTATTCATCTGACTTTTATAAAAGAAATATTAATTTTTAAGAAATCAGCTATTATGCAAGTTGTAATCGGGCTAATTAGTAAGATTTACTGAGAACAACATAAATTGGTTTCAACTAGATTCCACAGGTTCCACCTAGGATCACAGATAGGTCCCATTGAGCTGAATTCCCTTTTGGTAATTAGCATTGTGTTTGCTCTCCATTTTCTATTTTTTTTACACATTGTCTAGGTTTAGATAAATTGGGTCTTTTAGTTTATTGTTTGTTTTTCCATCATATGTTGGCCACAGAGACATCGAGTTGGGCAGCCTTATAAATCCAGTAAATGAATAACTGCTGGGACATATGCAGGGCTGCTCAACTAGCACTACAAAAGCTTTAAAACCTTCCCATGGTCCTCATATTGTTGAATGAATTGCGGTATGCTTTTAGTGGGGACCGGTTGAATCTCTCGAAAGCTAAGGGCTTGAGGGGGTGGGGGGAGGAACAGTGTGCTTATTCAACCACTTGCGCATTGGAGATTGCCTCTCTCACATTGGTCTCCACTCTAGTCCCCACTGCCAAGAATAATTGCAGAAGCTACGTTTGACATGTGGCTCTTGTGTTTCATTATGTTAATTCTCTTCTTTTCAGGAGCGAGGTGGCAGCAACTCTTTCAACCATGAAGCCCTTACCCTTAAATATAAGCTGGACAATCAATTTGAGCTTGTATTTGTGGTGCGTATGCAGTTTGGTGCTGAAAAAAAAAAGGCGTCAAAAGCAAATGAATACTAAACTGAAATTAAAAAGTTTCATTATCGGCTAATTCCTGAGAGGTAGAACAGGTGAAAAATACGTGGCCTTTTACAAGTAACTGAATTACGACCCCTTGTAGTGTAGTTAGTGATGAAGAAGATTATGAGTCACAGTTCGGCAACATACTCTTCCTTCCCAATGTTGTAATCCTATTGGGTTGAGGTACACAAGTCACACCATTGTCATGGAATGTTTAATCCTGCTTTGTCTAATAAGCTATGGTTGGCTGGAACCACAAGATGTGACGCCAGAACCTAATGCATCTCATGTTTTATGGAGTCTGTAAGGCTAGGGTGTCAGTGGTAGCAGTGACTTATAAATGTTCTTTTCTGTTTGAATCATTCGTCTGTTTAGAAAGCACATTAAGAAATCTAGCCTTTTTTTGAGTGTCTTTCTGCTCGTGTGAAAAGAAGCATAGAATGGAGGCAACTGATTCATATTGTGGGCTATTAAGGCAGAGAACTTTGCATTTATCTTTAAATATGAACCCTCTTAACCACGTACCTTTTTTCTTACCACACGGCTTCTCTTTTGCAGGTTGGATTTCAGAAAATCTTGACTTTAACCTATGTGGATAAGTTGATAGATGATGTCCATAAGGAGTTCAGAGATAAATATCGAAACGAGTTTCAACAGAAGGGTACCCTTGGGATCCTTAATGGCACCTTTGATTTTAAGGAGGACTTTCTACGTCTCCAACGGTAACAGAATCATCACTCATGTCCTCCTGGGGTTGACTTATCCCAGTTTCTTTATCTTTTGCAGCTAAAAGACTGCAGTGGGAATCACTGAGAGCTGGGCAAAATGAAAGGCTGTGGGTGGTCCTTATGTTCAGTTGTTCAGTTCAGTTGTTGTGCCCTTTGCTAAAGTGTACTTTAGGAATTTTAAAGCTATTTGCTTTGTCTTGGCTACCAAATTAAATTAGTGTTCAAAAAACCACCCGTTCCAGTGCTGCAGAGTTCTTCCCAGCTATAGGCTAGCGTGCTAACTGTACCCAGACTTAGGACTGGGTACAGAGTTGAGATAGGTAGCTTCATGTTCATCAGTTTCTTAGATTCCTGGCCACTGAGAGTGCTGGGAAGTAGGACTTGATCCAGAATAATAGAAAGAGTAAGAGCCGTGGTGGCGCAATGGTTAGAATGCACTATTGCAGGCTAACTCTGCCCACAGCCAGGAGTTCAATCATGACCAGTTCAAGGTAGACTCAGCCTTCTATCCTTCCAAGGTTGGTAAAATGAGGACTTAGATTGTTGCGGGCAATAGGC